CAGCAATTGACGGACAGTGGGTGTTAAGTTGTCTCTTTAACGGTTAGTTAAAAACACTATGCCACGAAACATTAGTCTCTGTACTTCAAAATTGCTGTCAAAACACAATAGAAATTTTGGGAGCCATCCAAGTACCCGCGACTTAGCCGAATCGCGACTTACCGAGGCGCGACTTAGCGAGGGGCCACTGTATGTAAGATGTTTTGATATTAACTATCTCATGAAAATTGTGAATATTTAAATGATATGCAAATGACCTATACAAGTTAATAAACAGCCAGTTACTTACTTTAAATGCAATTTTTCGTGTGAGATGCCAAGCGAATTTGTGTACTGCTGTTCTTTGTCCAGACGATATTCGGTACACTATAATGCCACGGGTACAAATACCGATCCATATTGACGTCCCGGGTTCACCTTTGACATCCCATACTTTATGAAAGTGGATTCCGTATTCGGCAAGTTTGCGGGCTTCCTATGAATAGAAAAATAAATGATAACATCAGCATAATGGCCCATAAATGTCTAGTGTTCTTGTTTGTAAGTCTAAAATAATTATATGTGAAGAAAACAAGACTAAAATTTGAATAATTCTGAATAATTCAAAGTTGACCTTCGGTGGAAGTATGCATCGATTCGTGGTACCCGGCAAAATCACTTTTTTCGACAATCAGAATCTATGTAGTAAGGTATTTTTTTGATGTACACAACCATAAATACTGTAAAACATGTCTTTTTAGCAAGCATGTCTTTTTAGCGAATTTAGCGAGAGAACTGATTCGCTAATTCAAGATGTCGCTAATGACTTTATTATAAATTCAAAATAACCAAGGCTTGGAGATTTGTATACAGTAATCCGGAACATAAAAATCTGGGGCGCTTCCTAATAACACTTGACAGTTTTTCTTTGTTTTTATGGAGGTGATAACTGTGCATTTGTTTTGGCAAGCGACAGACAAGTATTGTGAAAACAGGAAATCAACAATGACAAGAGAGATTTGCTAAATCAACATTTCGCTATTACAATGTACGTCATTTTACCACAATTCGCTAAAATTGCATGTCGCTTTTTCAACATGTTTTACAGTATATAAGGGATACAATTGTGATGTTGGTTTCAAGTTGGATGAAATTCCAGCATAATTTCCACCTAAAAATGACAAGAAAGCATGTTTCAAGCAGTGATTATGAGTGCTCAAATGACTGTCCCCACCACCCTCCCATTGTACAAACCTCAGATAGGAGTGATCAAAATCCATAAGTGGAAGGGAGCCAAGGTACTTACTAACATAAATTCCTGCTCTGATCGTATGTCATTCAAACCACGGTGTGCCTGGTGCATGGCTGGAAGCTGGTGTCGAATATTATCAACACCGATTTTTTCTATCATCTTTCGTGGAAGGTAATGTTCCCGGAGAAAGTAGTTCTGGCCAACTTCTTCATAATGATCGCCCATCTCTGCCTGTAAGGCTAGGGAGGCTAACTGTAATGCAGCTTCCTCATCACACCTTGTACGCTCTTCTAAAATATCCTTCCGCAACTGTAAGTAGTACTGATGCTTAGTGACCTGATGCCTAAGAAAGAACAGGAATTACAGCGGTTAATGAAAAGTGTATATACAGGGACAATAATCCCAGGTGTACAAAGCTATATTTAGAACTGATAATATAATGGTATGCAATTGATGTTAGGTAGGATGAAGATCCCATTTGAATTTGCGAGACATGATCACAACATTGTATACCTTCTAGACATTTCTAGAAATACTAATGGAAATAAGTGAGTCTGCGAAAGAAACGATTAGTGTTCATGTCCCTAGAGAGTTTATTACATGTTTTCTTGAATCGGGTTATAGCCTGGTTTCCGCAAACTTTTAAAAGGTTAAAAACAAGTTTGAATGTGCAAGGAACTTACACAAGAACTTCATCACATAATTTTATTTATAGAAGGTAGCCTATTATGCCACAGGCCTATCGTCCACAGGATCCATTTTTTAGGGCAAGTACCAGTCATCTCACAGTATAAATCCAGTACACATTGCGACAAGAATACTGTGATATTTTTACATCATGAGACAGAAAGTTTTACAACCACTCAACTGATCCCATATCAATAGAACCATGAATGCTGCGAACCGGCAAGTGGGCAGTGTGTACTAATTTTAATAATATTTGCTACTGATGCTAGGTGGACATGTTAACCAATGTATCACACACCAGATATAGTAGCATAACTTATAAATCCTTTTTAAATATTTTTAAGACAAATTGAAGTCTATCTACACTGTTCAAAGTAATGTTAAAAAAATTGTAACACATGCTGGCCTTGAAAGTATCAGAAACAGAGAGTCTTGACTTGGTTTCTACTTCAAAACAGGGTCAACCTGCTTAACATACACAGAACCAGGTTCACTCACCTTAAAGAACTGATATTTTCTAGATAGAACTTAACTCTGAAAAATAAAGTGAAAGTCTGTACGGGTATTGCATTTCTGGATCGCTTGATATCGTCTCTCCAGCCCTCTGGTGCCACTTTGTATAACTTTATGTCTGGTTCCAAGAAAAAATATTCACCATCTTTAAAAGAAAAACAAGAATACTAATGAAGATGAAATGTTTTTTTCTATTAGTTGTACCACCTAATTTCTGCTAAAACAATATCTTTTATTTTCCCCCAGGAAATAGAACATGGCAGGAAAAGGCCACAATTCAGTTCCACCTTGATGTTTTTTTTTTTTTATTGATGAGAAGTCAACCTATAGGATGTTTAATGTATATATTAAACAGTATTTATGGGTACAATGTTTGCATAATCACACGTTTCTGTCATAAACCAACATCTAGCAGCGTATTTTTTATTCTTGAACCAACCGTTAACGCCATTTCACCATGGTATTGTGTTTTCATATTTTAAGCATTTTTTTGTTTGAAGTTAACTCCATTGAATGCTTTAATTTTTAAATCATAGTGCTAATAAATTCTACTCTTTTAATTCAACCCCTCGAAGAATATATCGGGTAATTTTAGTATTAATTCAGCAAGTCTTATATAAATTAGTTGACTAAAAATCAAAGTAGACGATCATTTTATAGCCAGTAGTCGCCTTTTAACAAAATCTCTGCCAGTGGCACAACATCAATATGGCTGCATGATAAGCTGTCCAAATTATTGTAATATACTTGGAATCAAATCCCTGGATATTCCCCTTGGTATTAAACAAGAATAATCAAATCAATTACTATAAAATCATTTATTTTCATTGGCTTTTAATTTCACTTTGTTTTAAGTTTACGAACTTGGCACTGAGTTGTATTGTTATTTTACATGCACACATGGATTTAATTTTAGCAGATTTTACTTATCCAGTGTTTAATTAACATGTTTACATCTTTTGGCTCACTCAATATTTGATTGTTTTCTGTAAGACGATCATCGCTCTTCAAAAGAAAACTTGTCATATTTACCGTTTATATACGCTAAACCGAAATAACTATGTTCCAATAACGCCATATGATTAACCACCATATCAAACAACTCTTTTCCTAAAGTTGCCATATCACATGTCAAGTCCAATCGCTGACCATTCAATAATACTACTGTCACTCTTTTGCGACCATGTGGTACTTTTGAACTTTTACTCTGAGAAATAAAAAGAAAAAAAAAGGAATGGTTAAACATGAAGTATGAATTTCAGCTAAAAAAAAAACAAGTATAATTCACTTTTTTTAATTGGTTATTCAAACTACTGTTTCAAATAATTCAGTCAGGCAACATTATTTGGCAAAAAGTTGATTCAGAGAGGCAGCTCAGAAAAAACAGTAAGCTTACTGGTAAGTCATTACCGGTAAGACTTTTAAAGCGCTGTGGTCGAATTTTATGTAAATAAACAATGTATTTTACAAGCGTTGTATACGTTGCTATGAGTCCCATATCGAACAGGACGAGGCACAACGACTGCCACCCTTTAATGCATATACTTACCATGATGGATGGAGGCATATCTAGTGTTATATTGGGTTCACTGCTCATCACAACAAACTCTGGACCAAAAAACTTCTGATAAATAAATAAAAAATAAATATAATACTTTATTAACACAACTACAAAGGTAACAAACTTGACAAGATGGCAAACAAAGTAACTTGTGAAGGCTGCCTATGAGGGCGCAATAACTTATAGTCACAATGGTGGAATGTCAACTTTGTATCAGTACGCTTGACTTTTTGATTTAGTGTTACAGACTGTGTGAAAAATTTTGAAATTTGGTAAAGTGGTGGTGATCTGGCAATTCCTTAAAAATTACAAAAGGTCAACGTTCATACAACCCATAATTCTTTTTTTAAAGAAATTACAGAAGTTCAAACATCCCATAATATTCTTACTTTCAATTTCCTTCTGGTTGGTGTTTTTTCATAAGCTACATCACCCAGCATATCTCTACTTCTGTCAGGATTTCGGTTTCTGTGTCTCCGACTATCATAATGTCGTAGTTCCGGTTGATTAGCTCCGTGGCTGTGATCGACGTCATCCATTCTAGATGCTAATGTTGGCGTTGATCCATAATAAGGATACATGTCTGGATGATAACTTCCTGAATTATTGAAAAAAAACAAACTCAAATTATAGTTTTTATGAAGTACTTTTAATGTCATCACTTTTTTGTGAAAGTCATTTTCACTACCGGTACTGTCTTATGAAAGTTTAAGCCCATAATTATAACAATCATGATTTTGGTCGTTGCACGCATCAGTAAATATCACAATTTCAGAGAAAATAAAAAAAATGTACAAGTTTTGAGTTACGCAGTTACCTTAGAAACAACCACGTTCTAATTTTAACTGTGTAGTAGAGTTTATGTAAATGTTCAATGTTCCCTGGACCAGTTTACTGTAACTTTGACTACAATATTAGTTAACTTTTCCCACTTGAGGGCGCCCTCACAACTCACCTTGCGTTTGTGTGTCTAATGATGTCATTGACTTAAATCGACTTCCATTCAATTCATCACTAAGATGATCGCTGAAAGTCACATCATCATCGCTATGGTAACCCCGTTCTGGAGTATACCTTGACCTTTCAAGACTCCTGTCTCTTGATCTGTGGTGGGGTCTTTCAAGGTTAAGTTCATGCAGCCTTTCAACAGGCCTATCACGTGTCCTTTCTAGAGATCGATCTTGCGGCCTCTCTGATGACAGATCATGTGACCTGTTGAGATGTTGTCGGTGCGATCGACTGTTACGTGGATCATCCAAAAAATAAAGCAAAGTACTGTTCTCCTTAGGAGAATGATGAGAAATTGAATTTGGTTCATTTCGTGAATTTCTGGCCGAATGTGCGTGTCCCCTCGGGGTGCTGCTGTACTGACTCGACTTTGGTTCATTTTTTAACATATTCAATTTTTGTCTTCTTTCTCGCAGACGCTCATACGCTGATTCTGCTTTGTTTTGCAAGTCCGCAACGCGTGCACGTCTCTCAGAGATGCTATCGCTGACCAAACTATCGCATGACTGAGTTGACATTAACATATCGGATAAATGATACGACCGTCCTGATTTGTCGTAATTTCTTGAATTCTGTAATAATGGTTGTCGCGATCTCTGTTTCGACCTGTCATTATAACTCTCCTTGGTATCTAATGTACTGCTACTATGTAGCGAATATGTTTTATATCGCGATCTTCTTCTACTTTCTCTCGCATCTATTTCATCATATGCCATACTGGCGGAGTGAAGGTTGCGTAACGAACGAGGTTTCTTCTGCATGATGTCACTATGAGAATTTAAATGACGACTGTGTCGTTTATTTGGCGGACTGTGCATACCTATAAAAGAACACAAACAACTACATGAGTCCTCTTCTCTTGCTGGTGTAGGGAACTCAGCTGTTGCTAAGCAACAATAATTGCAACATGGTACCTACCAGATGACAAATCCCTGAGTTCTCCTTTGTTGCTATGGAAACTGTCTTGAGCATCGCGACTATTAGTAGATAGACCAAGTTTGGAGATCTGAAATATTCGCATGAAATAATTTGTTAAAACCTGATGGTAGGGTATTGAGTGAGTCTACTCAAATCTTAAGCATCATGTTATGTCATTAGCACATAACCAGTTTAGAATTTAGAAGTTTTTTCTTGAAATTAACGACAGTGTATGTAATGTCGTGTATCAAAATAGATTTGTAACCATGGATACATTGATAAACACAAAATATGTTGCATCACTCAGAGACAAATGAGTGCAAATATTATGTATTCGATAGACGCATTGTAATGCATTGCATTGTATTGTACACTGAAGAATTCTGGCTTTCATGCCCAATTATATGGCACTACAACTTTCAGCCAAGCCATCATCCTTTGGATTTGATCAAAGAGTTGATATGATTAAAGACATAAGACAAGATATACTGGTATGTGCATTCTGTATTTGTCTTGGTTTCTATTGAATTTTAAATCCTAAATATTTGAACCTGGTTTAATCTGGAAAATGACATAGTAGTAAAATTTGTGAATTAATTCGTCTGATTTTTGCGAAATATATACCGGTAATAAATGTTATTCAGCATGTCCGAATGATGATGATCACTTTGGATTCATATTTGACTGTATGTGAATGCTTTTGAATCGATTCCATTACATCGGTTCATAAACATTTTTTCTGACAGAATCTGGCTTTTATTAAGACCCACAATAAAGCTCTATAAAAGTTCATGGAGTAAAAGTGAATCACGCATAATGCGTCAAAATAAGATGCATATGGCAATATGGGAGAAATGAGAGAATGTGAAATATATTACCTGATCTACACTCCCCATGACAATCTTAGATAGTCTACTGATATAGTAGGAATAGGGAAGACCAGATAAATTCTGTTGCGCATGAAGAGTAGACGCCTGAAAGAAATATACAGTGTTAATATATACATGTATTCATTGTAATGCAGAGTTCTCTTTACAATACAGCATGGTGATACCACCACAGTGATTTGTTTACCTGCCACACTGGTCAAAGTGGTTTAAATTACAGGGATGAACACTGCAATGTTTGCATCCTGGAAATATTGGATAAAATTCCCTCTTGATCTGAAGGTATCAATACAACCAGTGCATTTGATGCATTCCACACACAAAAAAATAAACACACATATAATAGAGAAGTTGATGTTATCTCTTGTCCTGAGCACTCTATAAATTGTTTATCTTAGTGATAGACAAATTTTTCAGTCAGTAAAACGACAAAATTGTATCGCAGTGAATATTTCCTTCCCTACGAAAAATAGCATCATTCAGTTTTGCTGACGAGTTTCCCAGGAGTTAACAGGCTGGCAGTAGTAAGACCAACTTTGTCTAACTTAGACAAATATCTAACTTAAACAAATAGTGGTAGTAATTGGTGTGATGGCATAAACTAAGCCGTAAAAATTTAGGTAAAATAATGTTGGTTCTAAGTATGTTATATTGTGATTTCTTACCTCCAGTAAGTGAATGAGGGCCATTCTTGTTGCAACATTTTCTTCACACATGGCAAGTAGCAGTGTATCTAAATTTCTACTCAGTTTTACTCGCTGACCTGCTTTGAGTTTATAATCGGCAGCCCAGTACAGCGTCATACCCAAGGAATATATATACATCTACAAAAATATACATTTTAGTTATATATTCAAAAAAATTGCACTCATTTTACCTACATCTTAGGCAATAACTATAAACAATGTTTACCAGCTAAAACAAAAAAATTTTGAAAAATATAAAAACAAAGTTATTTGCACCAATGTGTTAGCAAATGAAATTATACTGTCGAAAAAAGAAGCAGATATACAACCGTAAACTCAAAACAACTCTCTTTTAATGATATGCCTACAGGAAGTATATTACAAATTAGCCCAATTTGGTTTTAAGTTAATGGCCAACGTAAAATACTTGATAGATACAATAATAACCATGGCGATTAAAGTTGAATTACCGGTAGTTCAATTCATTCAGATTTAAATTAATTTTAAATTATTTGGGTTATTTATGAAAAAGTCTTGTTTTAAAAATAAGATGCAAAATTATGATAAGATCTGACGCAGCGAATATTACAAATAATTTTTCATAAACACACATTAGTGATCTTTGAGAAAAAAAAAATTTACTTATATATTCAGTATTTACTTAAACTGACTACCTCCCCTGTGTGCTTGCACACCCTGAGCAAAAATTACTGTAAAATGACTAATTTTCACTGGGTTTAAATTTCACTGATTTACCATTTCAGGCATATTCAGTGGGTTTTAAATTCACGGTTTTATCATTTAGATAATGTGTTCTATGCAAAATTTTACATATTCACTGGGTTTTAATTTAGCGCATTTTCCAGTCAGCGAAATAAGCTAAATTAAAACCCAGTGAATAATTAATCCCTTTACAGTACATTATGATGTACATTTATATGAATAATCTTTCCTATTTATTGTTCTCAATTATCACATTTACAAATGTACTAACACTTAATTAAACAGAGATTAGACAGTGTACACTCATTTGAATTGAAACATATTTTATTGAATCATGTTACCTTTTCCACTGCCACATCTGATGTTGTGGTGGTCCTTGCCAAGACTTCCGGCGGTACATACGGTTGATTTTCTGAACTTTGAACATTATGGTTCTCAGCAAATTGTATTTTTCCATCTGGGCATAATAATAGAGATCTTGGCGTAATGATAAAACTTGTACCATCATCAGTGCGTGCTTCGCCTGTGGATAGAGATAGGATTTTGAGATTTCAACAACAAAAAATGATATCATACAATCCTAATCTGAATGGTTATGGACCATCATCTGCAGAGTTTCTAAAATATATATTAACTTTTTCACCACAAGACTTTCTCGCCTGAATTTCTCTGCACTTTTTTCTTAATTTCTTCAATATTTCTGAAATTGAACCCTAATTTTGGAGCCAAACGACAAAATTTAGATCAATTTTCAGTTTTTACTAAAAAATATTTGCTATGTTTGTCCCAATTTTCTGAAGGAAAGTGCAGACTATAAGCGGGACTATTTTGTGAATTTGTGATGAAAAGAAAGAACTGGTGGTGAAAAGGTTAAAAAGTATATGTGAAAGGCACTGTTTTTTCTTCTGATTGTAAGCAATGTTTTCCTCCACTATGAGGAACATTGAAGAATGTAGGTTGACGGCTTACAATGAGCAAAAAACCACTTGTGTTCTGACTTCCAAATGCCTTTCTTTTTTGTGACAAGTTGCTTTAGTTTCAGAAAATCGTATCTTCTTGTCCAGTTTTCTCAAAGCATGCCTCAATATGACATGTTTTTCATGAAGTAAATTAAACTGTACAAAAGTTGTGTTCAGAATACAATCATCTGAATTGGACCGGGAAAAGTACAATGGACGATTGTTTAGGTCGTGTGACAATAGACCATGAATTGGCAGCTGACAAAAGAATTTGCTAATCTTATATGTCACAAGATACAACCCATGGCGTGCAATACAATTGATGACAAACTATTTGTCTGAATTTGTTAACAGGCACCCTGGAATTATCACACTATAGGGCAAAGAAATATCCAACTATATTAAAAATAACATCGTCATGGCAAAAATAAATGTATATTGAAAGGATTTGGAGAATCTGACTCGTGTGGAATCTCTGGAATGCCATAGTGGCATGACCAAGTCACCAAGTTATCTTGATTGACTTCGACACAAATACATGTAAATAGGGTTTTCTACCTCTATACCCATAATGCTGTAGGGAAAAGTTTCACCACTTTGAATATCATTAATTTTCCTGCCAGCTTATCGTGCACAATTTTGCAAAATTTTATGAATTTTTCTATAATTTTGTTTTGAATTTTTGACCAAATGGTTATCATTTGTCATTGGATACATTTATTCATAAAAATTTTTGAATGAAAAAATATGGAAAAATTGTACAGATTTATTTTGTGACTGACGATAAATGTTGATAATTTCATTTTGAATTTTTGACCAAATGTTCATCATTTCTTATTGGCTGCTGTTACAATGTATTAATCCAAAGTTTTTGCAAAAAATACAGAAAAATTGGGCAGATTTATAATTTTTGTGACTGTCGACAAAAGTTGACTATGGCATTCAAAGAGTTATGGTTGCATTCCCACTTTGTATGATCCGTAGATAACCTCTCAATGACCTCTGACCTCTGTAGTATTTTAAAGCTACATTAGGGCATTAGATTCTTTGTACAAATTATGAGAAATCTAATCAAACAGAATCTAGAAATTAAGTTTGACCCCCCCTCCTAATCTAAAGCTTTGAGTAATCACTACAATGAAAATTATGCTTGATTTGATGATCAGACACCACAACTTTCTGTTTCTGCTACATGTAGCTTCAGTGCTCCAGTATTTTATGTTTTGTTACCATACCAACTGGTTTTATCATTTTCACCGTGATCACAGTAATCTGTGGGAGGGCATATAAATACCAAGTGGAAGTGTTTTCCACAACGGCTTTGAAAGGAGGTCCATTAAAAGTTATAGCCACCTAGTTACTGTCAATACACACACACACCAATGTACAGTGTGCATTCGGATGAAGTGATTTGTAAACAGCTTACAGAGTTCTTCCCAGGACAAAACAAAAGAGTAGTTGCCCAAACCTTTATTTTGCTATTGTTTTCAAGAGTTGAGATGTAAATAATGACTACTGGTAGTTTGCAAGCAGTTATCAAGTGTATTCATGGCAATAGTGAAAGTAAATAGAGAGGTGGTTGTCCATGTATCAATCGTCTAAATTCACTGTTGCACTGATCGTCTGAATTCACTGTCGCACTGATCGTCTGAATTCACTGTCGGCACTGATCGCATACCGTATGCAACTACAGTAGTTTCGACGACAGCTGTTTTCAGTGAGAGTGATCATGAAAGTTAATACAAATATATTAGCAAATATATTTGTTTGTATTCTAAAAAAATTGTAATTTGTAAACATATTTCAATTAAGTTAAAGAAAGAATATTGAACAACTGAGTATGTAGTACACAATATGTACAAGATTCAGTTTTGTTGACATACTAAAATAAAAGCGGTACCAACTTTTGATGTAACTTATTGACCCGATATATATTTATATTGATCTGGGATAACCATAACATGACCTAGTTATCTATTATTGACTCATAATGACCTCCAATGCATCCTTAATGACCTTCAATAATACTATAAGCCCTGGACTGCTACACTATGCACACTCAAACACTATTTAATGACCTTGGATGTAACAATGATATCAGAGCAATGTGATACTGCAAAAGCATTAATTTTTACTTGGACTTAATTTCTGTTTTTATATTTTAAGCATATTCACTGGGATTAAAAATGATGAATATGAGTAAAGCAATACTGTAAAATACTTTATTTTAGCTGGAATTAATTTTCACTGAGAAGAATATTAGAGTGCTTGGTATAGTATTTATTTTCACTGGTTTCTGACTGAATTGAATGTAAAATACAGGAAAAAGGTATATTCACTGGATTTTATTTTTACTGCATCATTCTTATCGAAAATAAATTCCAAGCGAAAATAAAGTATTTTACAGTATTAAAAGTTGTACTGTAATTTTACATGGTCACAGGGAATTCATTTAGTAGATTTAACTTATCCCCAAAAATAAGGAAATTAAAACCCAATGAAAAATTAATGTGCTCACAGTATTGTCATTCAGTATTACATTGTACGACTTATTGTACTACTAACCCCCCCCCCCCCGTCCCCTTTTTATCATTACAAATTCACAAATATATACATGATTGCGACAAAAACAGAAACTTTTTTTAGTAAAAACTGAAAATTTATGCAAATTTTGACTTTTGACCCAAAATTAGGGTTTATTTTCACAAATATTGAAGAAATTAAGAAAAAAAAGTAGAGAAAAATTTGCACGAGAAAATCTGGTGAAAGAAAGTGAATTCAATTCTGCAGAAAATTCACAAAGAATACTGTCATAAGGCTATATTATTTGCCGATAACTAAATGCACTAATGCATTGTTTCCATCACAAATCCATCAAATTAAAAACCAGTGAATCTGCAAAGTTAGCCACAGAATGTATTATTTCCTTTGCAAAGCAGTCAATTTAAAATCTTGTGAATATCTTTCATTTCTACTGCAGTGGTATTGTGAAATTTATTTCGCAACTCAAGAAAACATTTGATAGCAAAACCAAATACGCAGGAAAAAAAGTACAACAAAAGTGAATTGATAGCAGGGACTATGGCACAATGAGACACATTTAGTCTGTTACTAAACACAGCATGGTACACAGATCAATCAGGTCAAAGCACATCAACGAGCAGAAATATCTCAATTGTCAATCTTATCACCATGGTGACACAGAGGTCTTTTTTAGATATATTACAATGTGTAAATATATATGTAAATATGAACATCCCCCAATATATTTCTAAGGATTAGATTATGGTCAAAATCAGTTCAACAAACAAAATAGCCACCAGGCAACCATTTTGAATCCGATCTAAAAACAAAAAAAAATGACTTGCATCCAGATCCTATAATGTAGATGTTTTTACCAAGTGTGAACAAAATCCGTCCATACACAACCGAGATCTTATCTTGAGTTGTCGAATGAATACATGTGCATATGTGAGATGATACATAAGTTGAACGTTGAACATGAACAGCCAAATCATGTCAGTGATATGGGTTTGAAACAGCATTTGTTAAAACAAAATGGCCATCAGTTGGTTATTTTGAATTCTATCTGAGAAACAAAATGATGTGCATCAAGGCCTCAAAATGTCTAATGTATATACCAAGTTCGAACAAAATCCATCCATACACAACCAATATTTGTTTCCAGAATAGCAGAAATGCTTGATTTTAATGAAATTTTAGCACAAAATGGCCACCATTCGACCATCTTGAATCAGATTATGAAATAAGTTGTGAAGTTTGAATGTGATTTTTGAAGACGCATGGACACACACACGGAGGTCAAAACATAAGATTTATGCGTTGGCCTAGCGGACCCAAGCGTCCACGAACTTGCGTCTAGCGGTGACAAACTTGACTGGGCGTTGTTAGAGCGGTGATGAACTTTGCCGGAGCGTAAAATTGCCCGCTCCTCACCGCTTGCAATATTTTGTGCAGCTCAAAACTTTCGGAGCGGTAGGAGGAACCATCAGCGGTGGCCGAGCGTATACGACGTTGCCTTAACGGAGGGCAACTTCTGTTAAACGGTGGTGAACGGTAACGAACGGTGATGAAATTTTTTCACCGCTCCAGGAATGCTCCAACAAAGTTCGGGCGGTGTGACCGGGCCTGAATATTGTAATCACCTTGAATAATGATAAAATAAAATCAGTTGCCTTGGCAACAAATCCTGAAATATTGAAACACTGAACACAGCCTGCACTGAAGATTGTTGTGTTTAATCACCAAGTCAAAATTACTTTTAATTTTTCAAAACCTTTCAACTTAATTTAGGAGAGTGTTTTAAATCTGATTTCAGAATTCTGTTAGATAACAGTGCTTACAGGGTCAGTGAGAGGTTTACAAGAAATTATACAATGTATATGTACAGAGTGAGAATGCTACATTAATTAATAAATCTTTAGTTATCAATCCCAAAGACTGCTTCATGGAATTCTATTGTTTAAAT